TGATATACAAATATTTCTTCATGAAATTGGTTAAAATGATCTCAAACTCAATGATAAACAATGGTTTTTAAGACTTTTGTTCTTAACAGACATAATGAACCATTATAATGATTTCAATGCATGACTCCGAGGAAATAACCACACAATTTTGGAAATGTATGAGGAATGGAAGAGTTTTACTTCAAAATTGATATTATTTGAAACTGACATAAAAACTAAAAAATTTCATTTTTTTTCCATTGTTAAAAAGGGAACATGAAAAAGAAAATATCGTTGAACGCAATCTAAATATGTTCGAAACTTGGATTTCGGTCATTAAAAGTGAATATGAAAGTCGGTTTCAAAGTCTTAAGAAACATGGAGAAATGTTTACATTTATAATATAGCCCGATGAAATAGAAGAAAATATTTTAAATTTGCAGTATTTTGAATATCTAAGAATTGACAATAATTTTAGTTTAGAAATGATCGATTTTAAAATTTCAACATTAAGGACGGGTAAATTCAAGAAATTGTGGAACGATTTGGAAAATACAGAAGATAATCATTTTCTCATAATATCAACATGTTGGGCATCACTTCCTACGAGGTTTTCATCATTTAAAAAAATTGCCTTTGCCATTTTGTCCACATTCGGGTCCACTTATAAATGTGAGCAAATATTTTCACAAATGAAATTTATTTTAAGCAAAAATGGGAGCAGGTTAACTATTGAAAATTCAGATGCTTGCGTTCGACTTAAAACGACTAACTATAAACCAGACTTGACTAAATTGACGTCACAAGTTCAACATCAGGGGAGCCATTGATATCGTAGAGAAAGTTTACAAATAAAGTTTATTCAACTATGTTTGTAATTATTTTCTTAATAAAATATATCTTATTATTAATTAAAATGCTGTTTTAATTCGAAAATATCTCTGACCCAAATGTCTCTTTAATACTCGCATTTTGGTATAGAGTAAGCTTTAATGTAAGCCCTGCTATAGAGTAAGCTTTAAATGAAAAGACACAACATATTGCAGGATATATAACAGATCATATGACTGGATCATCTTACTATAAAAATGCTGCTTGTAATCCAACTGATATCATGAGAGTATGAACCAATAAGTCCAGAAAGGACACACAGAGTGTCATTCGGTCTTTTGAGACATTTGTGCCATGAGAAGACAGTCATTTTGTGCAAATGTCCCATACTGCCACATTATGCATCTGAAGACAGTATATACAGCTCACAGCATGATAAGAAATGTCTGCACATATGGTGAGATGTCATCTTAAGGGTTATAAATTGCTTGCATAGTGGCCATTTCAACATCATGATGGACATATGCATAATACCATTACCATTGAGAGCACTCATTGGAAAGTTGCCTTATGCAGTATCAAACCAGTCCAGCACATGGAGTATAAAGTGTGATTGGATACAAGTCCTGCTTATATCTGGTATTTTGGCATACATATCTAGCACTCTTCATTGGCATTACATTAAAGATGTGTAATGGCCTGTGATTATCTCATGTCTTCACAGGCGCCCCAAAGGTGTTTTGCAAAAAGACAGTATACAGTGGCATACTTAGTGTCTCACACTTTCTTGACACACATCAAGCAGGCTACATTTTTTCCTTGGTCACAGCATTCACTACATCTTTCTCACACCAAGCAAGTCTAATTAGTGCCATACTCACCGACATGACAAAGACCACCGAAAACTATAATATATGAAAGTTGGGAATGAGCTACAGCTGTCATCCAAAGTCTCTTTGACTTTATACAGTACAAAGTGCAAAATCTGGATGTTTCATATTCTAATTGTATTTTGTTTTCCACAAAACTTTGGAATGCTGAACACAATACTCCAGAAAAAAATGGTGTGCTATAAAAGCAGTTCTCATCCCAGCTATGATTTCTACATGTCACTTTTAAATACCCGCTGACTACACTTCTATGCATGTACTATAAAAGTTAATTCATACTTGGCTAGGATTTAGACTACACAGCATTACTTAATGATCAGTTTTATGTATTATGTTCATCAGTTTTAGTTTTCGTATATTACGTATGCATTTTTTTAATGACGTAAGCAGGTATTAGGGATCAGCTTTCTGTATTTCTGTACTCAGTATCATGCTAATTTTTCACTTTAATATTCAGTTTTGTAGTTATGTATGTATTATCCTGTCTGCAAGTACTACGAAAGAAAATGTAGATGCATGGTTCAATTTGTAAAATAACTCCAGTTTAAGTTTGCGTAAAGAACTAAATTATGCAGGAATTAGTTATCAGAGTGATAACAGGTACACAAGCTTTTAAATGTCTTTACATAAGAGTCAGGCACATGGAAAGTAATGTGTGTTAAATTACGTTTAGGCTCTAGGATATTTTTTTAATCTCTCTCTTTTTTTTTTTTTTTTTTTTCTTTTTTGAGTTTATTATGTGCAATAATTTAATACGCTATGTCTTTCCTTCATGCAAGACCAATGATTTTACAAAAGCCCAATAAATATATGAAAGTTGTGTCAGGATTAGCATCCGCATGTAGACATTTATCAAGCCCAGAAAATCCACGGCAGTTAATTTTTCAAGCAGAGTCCTCCTTTCTTTACTTTATCTAACACAAGTTTCTGTCTATTCTAACAGTGATTCTTAATAGACTTTTGCTTGCTTCTTTGCTTAATTTTAAGTAGTTCCTGACAGGATACTCTCCCTGAACAACAACATCCAAGCTTACATGTAGACTTTATGAGGCTCTCAGCCGTCTATTTGACTGCTTTCCCAGAGCAGGGTGGAGTGGAGAGTAGATCGCTTCTGCCAGAAAGATAACACACTGTGAAGCTAAGGCCAGATCAGTGGTCTTCACTCACTCACTCTTTCGGCCCTTGAGTGGTTGTGGAGGTGGGGTGTTAATATTTTTCTATTTGACCTACACAATAAGTGAAGCATTAAGACATAACTTTTTGGAGTGGGATGTTGCTAATACTGGATTTCTTTTTTCTTGGGGGGGGGGCATAACAACAGGAAGAGAGAAAAAATATGACTCAAAAGAATAGCTATTTTATCAAAATTAAAGTATGAGTTTTCAATTATGTTGAAAAGACTTTCTAATTCTGAAACTGTAGCAGGATCTGCAAAGTGAAAGCATATTTGATACTTGCCTTCTGTAAAAACTCGTCTTTCTTCTAGGCATGAAAAAAACTGATGGTGGTGTGATTTGGGTTTAAGAAAGTGCGATTTTAAAACTAGGCAAACCAGCAATCTTATTTTGGTGTAGATTTTGGATGCTACAGAAAGCAAAATTTTAGAATTAACAGAATTTGCAAAGAAATGTGCAAAATTTGTTTGTTCAAAAATTATGAAACAGTAAGGATCCTGGGGTTTGGAATATTACCTGGAGAAGACACCAGCTACAGTATTCTCAGTATTCTGATTTCACATAATCTATTTTCCTACAGATGCTTCATAATCTGCTACCAAAATGCAAGTTACATTTTAACCACAGGACACTAATTCTCTTTACATGGATTCTTTGCAATCACTGAAGAAAATGGTATTGTCTATACAGTCAAAGTCTTTAATCCGGACGTCCATAATCCGGACCTCAAAGCTACAAACTTTCTGTGCATGCGTCAACGCATAATGCATTATCACATGCACGTAATACCTTTACGCATATGCATCTATGCATGCGCATAATACGTTTACGCATGCACATTTAATGTATAATGGATGGTATAAGCTAAGTTAAAATTATCTAATTATCTATTTCAGTTAATGTTGCAGAATGCGCTGTTCCTTAATCTTCTAATTGAATCCGGATTATTACTTTTTGCAGACTGTTAGAGCAATTTTATAAAAGTATGCTTGAACTTTCGATTATATCAAACAGAATTTCCGATGCTGGAGCTGCCAAACGATCTACAAAGCGAAAGCATGTTTTGATGTCCATCAAACAAAAAGTGGAATTACTGCAAAAAATGGATAAAGACATATTCTTTGTTTCTCTAACCATTCCAAAATCTGTTTATCAATTTCACGCTGCTCTGCAGAAGGGGGAGGGACGTCACGACGCGCAATGAACTGGAAGTTGATCTGTCGGCACTATCCTTATCTTCAGGGCAGATGTTCTTATTTTATTCAGCTTATAATTCCTTACTAAATGTAGTATTTCATCTTGATGTACTCCGTCTTTGATAAGATTTAAATCAAATTCCTCGTCATTATAAATATCTCGAATACACATCAAATAGTTTTCTGGTTGCAATTTTCTAATTTCGACTATGCGTAATGTATGCTTTACGCATGCGCGCGTAGAAAGAAATGTTTAATAAAGTAAAGAAATAAATAAATTTTTAATTTTATAATTTTTGCATGCCATCTCACCAGATTTAAACTGATGATCTATAATCCGGAAAAACCGATAATCCGGACTCGCCGAACTCCCGACGAGTCCGGATTAAAAACTTTTGACTGTATTTGGATCTAATATACCTAGCTTTTAAAGTTTTCTGATTTCCATATGGCATTCTGTTTTTTCAAATTGTAACAGAACATCCATATCTTACCAAAGTATGTGATAGGAAGCAAGGTTTCTTTCAATGTTACCTACCATTGTTTCTGAATTGCTTTTTATCAAACATAATAATTAAATTACATAAATATATCTAAAATAATAATAAAATTCTTGCTGAAACCTAACAGTAATTTATAACTAACCACAAAACCTTTCGTTACTTATGATTAACTGTTAGCAGAAAATTGGAAATATATTCATATAAAACTTCATGATCATTAAGGGTATTGAGTGAGATAAGGTTTGATATATGTAATAAATGACAGGATAAATATGAATTAATTGCTCTTATATATAAATCATGCATTGAAAATTTATGCTCACGGTTTCATACATCTACATGCATATTTTGAGAAGTATATTAAGATAACAAACTAAAAGAATTTCAAGATATTTAATAACATGAGCAAATATAGGCACTGTTTACCTTATAAAAGTCATACCAAATTCCGCTTGGAAAATAAGCTTTGACAGTTGATGCTCCCTAAGTAAAATATGAAAAAAATAAGCACAAAATTTCATTCTAACAAAACATGAATATGTATTAAAGCAATATAACAACAAATTCTTCTCCCCCCCCTCCCCCAGGTAAGCAGTAATGAACCTTTTAGCAATGCTTTCACTGATAGGTGGAAAATAGGATATAATTGAAATCCCTGAATACCCCCTATCATATCTGTTGCTTTAGAATAGGTACTTTAAGGCCATTTTGAGTCATAGCTATGGCAACGACTGCTGCAGGGAAAAAAAGGGTCAAGTCCTGTAATTTGCTAAATTTACCAATTCCTTCTGTGTGGTGATGACGACACACATATGATCGTAAGTGTGGAGACAGTTGATATGACCTTGAAGTGCTTATTTTAAAGTAAAAGACTATATCAAATTACTTTTTACAATAATTAAACAGAAACTGAGTTTTTAGCAGTTACATCTGTACTGTACAAGATAAATACATAATAAGCATATAAATGGGGATTTTTATGGATACTTCTTATTTACTTTTTATGATTCAATTAAAAACAGAAAAAGATCTTGTAAATTCTCTATCAATTCTGCATAGTTAAAAATTTAAATCTTCATATGAAATAACATATATTCTATTTCATTTATACATAATTATACGAAAATCAGTAAACACTTTTGAAATGTTATAACAATATTAATTAATCAATTAATAAATTTAAATCTTTAAAACTATAACATGAAATTAAATGATTAAAGTTGAGTTTTCAAAATTAAGATGCATTTCATTATTTCCAAATAAATCAGACAAATTTAGCTTATAATAACAGTTTTCCATCAAACTATAGTCTTACTTGAAGTAATGCAAAAATAAGTTTTTTGTATTTTAAATTTAAATTATCAAAGTACTCAATATAAAAGCAAATAATGATCTTTGTATCTCCATAAACAATATTCAATTTATACCAGTAAGAAACTAGAGCAAACAAATTCTTTCAAAGAGAGCTACGGAAGTGAACTGAGCATTTTTCATGAACAATAATAAAAATTGTAAATTATATTTATCAGGTCAGTCCATAAGTTCGTGTGTATTAGGAGTGTGCGTGGAATTCACTATGATGCATTTACTAAAACAATATAATTTTGAACCTGCTGAAACTTGTCATCGTTTTACTAACATACTATTCAGTTCATCACCAACTTTTGTAAATATCGAACACATTTTAGTACCCATAGAAGATGAATATAGATAATCAGTACAAACGTGTTGTGCTACATTTTGTATTTTCATGTTATGAATCTGCCAGGTTTGCGACAATAAAAATTAATAGTATACATGGTGAAAACACTATTAGTGTAAGGACTGCACAGAAATGGTTTAAAAAATTTTAAGTTGGAAAAAGCACCATTGATGATGAACCCCGTTTAGGATGTTTTGAATTGTTAGAAACAAATCAAATGATTAATTCAGAAGTTTATAGTGAACAACGTTGCTGTCTAAACTCAAAATTGATAAAAAAAAAAAATATAAAAAAATAAAAAAAAAAAGGAAAAAAAAAAAAAAACACCACGATTGATGAATATCAAGAAAGTGTTGTTTCATCATAACAATAGACCGCATACGGCTCAAACAACACTGCAAAAATTAGTGAATTTAATTGCGAGCTTTTGCCACATCCTGCTTACTCCCCAGATATTGCCCCAAGTGATTTTCACTTATTTCGTGCTTTACAAAATTTTATACTGGGGGAAAAAATTAAATTCTACATAGGATGTACACAAAGAACTTTCAAGTTTTTTGCATCAAAACCAGAGTCTTTCTACAGCAATGGCATAAAAAAGCTGCCTGTAACATGGTGAGACATTGAAAATAATGAAGGAAAATATATAATTGATTAAAATGTTAAACTGTATTTTTTTTATCGTATTTAAAAATTTACCGAAAAATGCGCACGAATTTACAGACAGACCCAATATTATATATATATCAAAAATAATAATAAAAACACTGCAATGAGAGGATTAAACTAAAGCAAGCACGTAAAATATGCATAACACCCCCTGTAGATATTTGTTTTACATGCAAACTACTAAAAAATAAACTATAAATTTTCTTGAAAAGTCAATTATTAAATTATTAAAAACTCTGAGAATATACCTCTTCTAGAATAGGAGAAATAAGAAGAGCAGGCCCCCATAAAAATTGATAGCTGATATCCCATGTCTCCTGATCATACGGAAATCTGCATCAGAAAACAATTTTCTTACATTTTCAAATGCAGAGCTTATAAAAACATAATTGTAAAATTTAACAACAGAATGCATTCAATAAACAACAAGAATACTTAAGAACAGATTACTGAAATATGATGAACAGAAGCAGAAAAGTTTCTACTTGCATTTGTTTTCTTCCTATATATGTACTATACTATAATATGTACTTGTTTTATTGATTTCCGAGGTTTGATACTTACTCAAAAGCATGAAATTTTTTGTTACTTTTACCACATAATATCAGAGGTAAGAAACAATTACATTGTGAATAAACTGCTGTACATTTTATGATGCAATACATTTATTTGTATAAATTATATATTTAAAACAGTACAATAAAATGACTTTACTTTTCATCACAAACTGTTCCTACTACATGCTTGGAATACCTCCTTAAATGCTAGATTTTTTTCATATTTTTTTTAACATAATCTAATTTTTATACCTATGTTTTGTTATTCATAACATTTTGAACTGGTTGGTGTCATAAGTGGCACATTTTTTATGAAATTTAATTTTTTAAATGCTAAAAAATTACCTAAAATTCTGTCTGCAAGTTATAAATATTTTTTTTTTATTTTTCTTACCACATTAAGGTAAGGTAAGTGATTTCCTCAATATATTTCTTGTTTTAATTACCTAATTAACTTTTTTAATTTGCCATATTTTTAGTTTTCTTTACACACAATAACCTTAGCAAGAAAGCTTTAGTTTATGCATTTACATTAGACGGATGGGGTTTACATTATCAGTATAATGTAATTTTTAGAATGATTTTTGACAAAATAAAATAAAAGCAAGTGTTTTAGAATAAAAATTTTTGGCAACAGCTATATTTGAAATGCGAAATATCATTTGTTATTTTCTAAATTTATTCATCTTTCAAAATGTGCTGTGAAAATATGTGTGAAATTCATTATACAGTACAAAGTCTTTAATCCAGACTCGATGGTACCTTGGCGATTCCGGATTAGGGGTTTTTCCGGATTATAGATCATCAATTTAAATCTGGTAAGATGGCATGCAGAAATTATAAAATTAAAAATATGAAACCATAATTTATGAAATAAAGAGCAATTATGATCTAAAGGATATCAAAATTTGCAAAAAAAAAAAAAAAAAAAAAAAGCTTAATATTTATTTGTTTATTTTATTAAACATTTCTTTCAATGTAAGTTGTTTAAGTTGCTTCATTTTTTGTGCTAATACTTTCTCTTGAATTCTATAAACAGACATAATTTCTTGTTCAGTTCCACTGTTCAAGTCCTGTAATTGCTGCATCGAGAATACTGACTAACTAGTGAATTGAAATTTTTTCGTTTTCAATAATTTCTTTGTCAGTTCTTCACTATCAGAAGCGGCACATCAAAACATGCTTTCGTTTTGTAGATCCTTTGGCATCTCCAGAATCGGAAACTCTTTTGGACATAATCGAAAGTTCAAGCTTACTTTTTATAAAATTGCTCTAACAGTCTGCAAAAAATAATAAGCCGGATTATAATAATAAGATTAAAGAACAAAGCAATCTGCAACATTAACTGAAATAGATAATTAGATAATTTTAGCCTAGCTTATACTGTCCATTATATATTAAACGTGCATGCGTAAAGGTATTATGCACATGCGTAAAGGTATTATGCGTATGCGTAAACGCATTATGCGTTTACAGAAAGTTTGTAGCTTTGAGTTCCGGATTATGGACATCCGTATTAAATACTTTGTACTGTATTTGTTTACCATAGCAACACTCTGGCGCTAGGTTCACTTAACAGCATTATATTTCGTTCATATTATAACTCAGAATGCACAAAATTTATATCATTTAAAGAATTATCTTATCTTTGCCACATGTTATATTCAAATACTATAATAAATCTAGAACGATGTACAAAAGAAATTAAGCAAACAAAAAAGAAACAGTTCTTCACAGACAACTTAGTATTTCTCATTCAATTATTTCAGTTCTCACTTTGCGACAAGGCAAAAATACATTAAAACTCAAAATATCTATATTAACAATTACAAAATAAATCTTAAACACTTATTTCCTCAAAAAAACTCCAGAAAGTATTAAGCATGATTTAATTCGTAATAATAAATGAAGGCGTTATCTTTGTTGTTGTGAAGCTTAGTCTTCCTAGATTGGCAACAAATCTACTACTCTGCTGTTTCAAATGTAAACAAATATGTCTACCATGTTATTTAAGAATTAGGCTTAACTGCATTAAACAGCTTTTAAATTGTTGATAATTGTACAAATATTGCTTGCAGATTTACTACATAAAAACCTTAACCAGAAGATAAGAACAACATAATTCAATCATCTTTAAAGCAAAAAATGCAGAATTTACAAACATATAAGAATAAAGAAACAGAGATCACTGAGCTGGGTAACAGAGTGGATACATATATAAATATATTCATATACGTTTGGTGTGGCCGATTGCAACCAAAATATGAAGTGCACATCTTCATGATATAGCAGTCCTATATACAAAATTTCAACATTCTGAGGCTACTCGTTTTTGAGTTATGCGAGATACGTACGCGACGAAACTACACCATTACAGACGCCATGAAAAATTCTCTGCAGAATTCATTTTAAAGCAGTTTTATAATTTTTTTGGAGGAAAAGAGTCTTTTATTCTGTCCTTATGTACAGATGTCATGCAAATACATCATTAAATTGCATTCGATAGTGGTCAAAATGGATATTTTCGATGAAATATGCTGTCTGAAACTTTTTGCGATTACAATCCTTTTTACTTTGTACAAGGAAGTAAAAAGAGAGAGAGAAAAATAGGGACAGACTCTCAATTATATTTCAAGTCCGAATGCTGGAATATTTTTGAACTTCAAATTTCTTGAACCCTTTGTATAATAATAAGTAATAATAATGACAGTAATGAAATGTTAAGTATTTTATTAAAGCAAAATTTAAAATTTGCATTTAATGAAAAACAAGCTTAAAGACATAACTGCAAGGAACATTAGGTTGTTTGCAGCAGGAAATGTGAAAAACCAACTATACCCTCCTCAGGTTTTAAATTATGTATCATCTACCGCTAAGTGGATTTGTGAACCACTTATACCACGAAAGCACAAATGGAGGAATGTGACAGTTCCTTTCATTCTTTCCCACTTAAAAGCTGAACATGCACACACATGAGACCCAGTCCACCAAATCAAGGCAGTGACAAGCTTTTGCTCACTGAATTTTAGTTTGAACACCACTGTGGAGAAACTATTCAGTTTTTTTCACACAAGAAAAATGAAAAATCAACTGTGGCTTTATAGGAACTGGAACTGAAGTTCTTTGAATGCCAGATGAGCATGCTACCAGGTAGTAGAATGTAACATGAAAATGTAATGTGGAATAATGTAATATGGAAAATCTATTGTATAAAGAAAAATAAATAAAGAGCTACAAATAAAATTTAGTAAAAGAAATGCATAATCTAAATTCTCAGACCTGGAGGTTCATTTTCTCAAAATCACTTGACAAAAGTTATTCAAGTAACAGTTCAATTTTTTCATTGTTTGAGAGTCATTTCTCAACAAATGTAGAGGTGAGAGGAATAATTTAAGAGTTCATACAAATAAACACTAAACACAGAACACTTTTATTTCCCCCGAGAAAATTAATAGTGTAGCTCTTGGGGCTGTCTAAGGTGATGGGGCATACAAATCTCAATGACATTTTCATAACAGTGCACTTTTTTAAATTAGCACTTTTATCGGATATTCTTTCAAATGGTTTAAATTAAAACCTTTAATAGTTTTTAAAGTTAGAATCTGAAAGATTTGAATGAAAAAATGTTTTGAGCTCTTTTTTTATCTACAAATATATATATATATATTTGAAAGATTTATGAGTTTCAAGGACTTAAAATATCCTATCCTCTTTTTTAAACAAAAATTTAGTACAGCCCCCAAACTCTTAAAAGAATTACCTATTTATATACTTAAAGAAGCAAAACAACCAGTAAAACCTGCAAGTAACCCTCTAAATGTTTTGAAAGTTTAGCAGGGGCATACCCCAAATTTCCGCAAAAGGCATGATTCTTAATACCAAATTTAAAAAAATTACATTAATATGTTTATTGCTCACATTAATGCATTTACTGTAGTGAAAGAGCATGCTATTTGCTAATTTCTCTCGGACTGAAAGAGAGAAGGAGAGGAAGGGAAAAATTCTCTTTGCTCATGTTTCATCCACTGAATGTGTTACATTTGTCAACATGTGATGTCCTCTTGTGGGGAATGGGCAGAAACAAACAGGACATGGGAACATGTTTCATTTTGAACATCTAACTCTAAAATAAATGATTTAGTGTATTAAGTAACATTAAATGCAATTACCATGTATTTCCATAGATATGACAACTTTCAGATGAGACGAATTATTAATTTTCATCAATTTTTTATTGTTTTAGTATATATCTGCCCTATAAGATGGCCCCCAAACTATCAATGGCTTATGAATTTAGTTTAGATCAGCAATCATAATCTGAAAGAAATCTTATTTTCTTGCATTCGGCAGCACTGCGTATAGAAGTATATGGCGAATCATGAATTCCCATATACCTCTAACATGTTTATTTTCTTGCATCTGGCATCACTGCTTTCAGAAGCATGTGCCATATCATGAACTCACGTGTACCTCTAACAAGTTTCATTGTATATTGTGTCACATGTTCAAAAATTTGTAATTAGCATAAAAGTAAGGCCTAGTCATGAAATCAACGAAAAGAAGGAAATACAGAGCCAGCTTCAAGTTTAAAGTCATAAAACAGACTAAAAAACTGAACAACTGTGCTGCAACAAAGGCATTCAATATAACAGAGAAGATGGTAAGAAACTGGGAAAAGAATAAAGATGCTATTAAAAAAATGCCAATGAAAAATGTTCTATGAGAAGAGGAACAGCTTGCCAGCCAAATTTAGAAAATAACATTGCAGAATGGGTA